GATAAAGGGTTTTGTTCAACATAGTGCCGCTAGGTATTGTGAATCTAGACTGAGCGGCGACTGTACTTAATGCCTTTTTCTTTCATTGACACCCGCGTGGGGCTGATGAAATAGCTCCTGGTGGTTGTGAAATACCGCGACTAAAAATAGATCATGCGCAGTCTACAAGAACGTTACGCTATGACAGTCATTTCCTTACTAAATGTAGGTAAGTAAACGAGTTATATTTGTATCAATATTATTTTGAACCTATTAAAAAACTATTTTTATAAATTAAAATGTTAAGTACGTATCTATTTACAAACATTTCTTTTATCTGTCATAATGGTAATTATCTCTCCGTCTAGGGCCGAGGACCTGACCCTCAATGTCCGCGATTCAAGCCCTAAATCGTGTATACGAGTCAGCTCCGTATACTTCCGGGAGATATTTTTTTATTCGCGTTTCTATTTATAACGTGATGATGTCAGTCTTAAAATAGAATTCAAAATGGCCGCCGCGCGTCTGTTATTCAACATGGCCGCCGCGCCTGTGTAGTGAGGTCATTTCTTCTATGCAAATGAGTTACTATTAATAGAAAACAACATGGCCGCCGCGCATGCGCAGTCTTGGGGCTAAAGAGGCCCCTATACTACTTTTTCTTGTTAAAACACAATATCATTATGTAATACAGTGGAGATGACTTGCCAGTTTATGACGTTTACATGCCTAAATGCCGTCTCATTATGTCAGATAATCCTGTTATCCTGTCCAGATGCAATGTTGTTATAATTTAGTATCACATGACAAGAGCCCGCGCGGAGCGTGAAAAGATAGCGCAAAAAAGATAACGGGACAGTTAAGCAAAATCAGACAGCGCTTTCTCAAGACAGAACTAAATTTGAAAACATTTACACAATTATCATACATAATAAGACTGTTTCTGTGTTTTACAAGAAAACATCAAAGTTCGACAATATAACACTTTTGTTTTACATTATAAGAAAGAGTTTAGACAAGCCATTACCACATTTCGACAAGATACCGCAATATTTTGACTTGATAAGACTGAGTTTTAACCTGTCAAAACTGCTTTTTGACAAAATAGCATACAGTTTATCATAATATGGCATGATTTAGCCCAGTCAACACCCCATGTCGGCAAGATAATTCGAATATTTGATATAAAAAGACAATTCAGTAGTGTAGGTTGGCAAATTAACACAGTTGTTTGACACAATAAGACAATGTTTAGGCATTTAAACACCGTATTTTGACAAAATAATATGACAGTTTGATAAAATAAAGCTGTGCTTTTACAAGTCAACACAAAATTTCGACAAGAGAACACTACTGTTTCAAATGATCAGACAGTCTTTTGAAAAAACAGCTCCACAATTCGACCAAATAGCGGGACTAGTTGACATAATATGACACATTTAAGACAAGCCAAAACGACATTTTTGACATTATAACACTACTGTTTGAAATAATTAAACAATGTGAACACAAGTCAACATCGCATTTTTAAAGAGATAAGGTTACTGCTACGCATAATAAGGCAATGTTCGGACAAGTCGACAAATTACAATGGCATTACAACGCCGCTTATATTTGACATAATAAGACGCTTTCTGAGCAAGATAAAAAGAAATTTTATAACATGAGGCAGCTATGGCGTTCCATAGAAACCAGCTCAACCTGTGTTTGTTATTGAGTTGAATGGTTTTGTAAATTTCACTAGGGCAAAGTTTATGTGTCTGGTTTAGAATACTGAAAGGGGTGAAAAGAAATAAGAGCTATCATCAGGCTGGGACCAATCTCGACAATTTCTTTTTTCTAAAGTCAAACATTGGAGGTAAAGAACACTTCAAATAAAAAACCATTATCTTATACAAAGCATGTTAAATAAATTTCATATTTTACCTCAATAGTCAAGGTCATTTACAGATAAAGTCATACTTAAATTGCTGGTGTTGTCATATGTGTTGTTTGGTCCCAGTATGAATTAAATCTATCAATTATAAAAATAACAAAGTTATTTCTATTTAAACAAAATCATAACGGTCAAGGCCACTTAGAGGTTAATGTTAAACTTTGATAAAACAACATGTCAGTTTTGTTACAAGTTTTTATCGTAGTATAAATCAAAACTGCAGTAAGCTGAATTTTCTTCAGCTACTTAAGGAATATTGAACTGGCTGCTGATCGTGGGTTAAGGTTTCCATTAACTACGAGAATGTCCAAATATCTATCGGAGTGGAATCCACCTTAAACTATCACACTTCCCGTCGGTAATGGTTTGTTCCTATTTCATATGCGTCAGTATAGCTCTCACAAAGACCAAATTTACAGAGTTGGCCCCGAAATGTATGTGCTTAGCGGTACGGTGGCCTGTCGTGTTTGGTTGCGAGGGTGTCGCGAGGGTGTTGTACACGTACAAAACTGTCATTGTTTCCTCTCGTGACTCTTCTACGGCTCGCTTTTGGCAAATCTGATTGAAACATCACGCTTGCAAATCGGTTATAAATGACGTTTCAACAGTTGCATTAAATGATTTATTATCTGTTGATTATCTTTAAAAAAAATCAATGCAGTGAAAAGGACATAATTTTGATTTTTTTTTAATGTTTAACTTGACCCACCACTTCTGCAAAAGACATGGCCAGTGTGAAGTGTGTGATGGGCAATATCAAAAGAAATAGCACTTGTTAAGTCTGGAGGTGGTATGTACAATCTTACAGTCAATGCTAAGGTTTGGAATAAAAACCTATATGTATCAGAAATAAGATCAGTATCAGACTCGGCTAGCGTCTCTGGTAGTTATGTTCTTGTCTAATAGAATTCAGTACTGTACTCAACAATGTATAATAACTTTCTAATAAAATACAAGTATTTATCTTTAAAGGCCCAATATGCCTCAGATAAGATATGTTTTAATTTTCCCGAAAGTTTTTTTTTTATTTTTGACGTCCTGTTAAAGTTTCCAAAACATTTCTCATAAGCTATTTCTCTCAACCATCTTTTGCTTTTGTTGCATATTAACAATTCTGTACAGTTACATTGATTTAATTTAGTATTTTGTATGGAAGTCAAATTATACTTTACTTACGATTTATTACATTTACGACGAATAATTTTACATTCAGCGTTCCTTTCAACAGATGATAAGCAGCTTAAATGCTTTAAAACCATTATTTAAATGTCATAAAACACTTGTTTGCCCTTCTTCGGGCTAAGAATAAAAAACAAAAACAATTCGTTTCTGATGCATAACGTGCCTTTAAGAAGTGTTTAAAATGTGATTTAAACAACGTAAGCCTTGTCAAATTTCTTATTTCCAAATGAAAAGTGTTCCATAACTCCATATCAGAATTATGAAAAAGTACGTATGTTTCAGAGATATTTAATTAAAATATAGACAATTCATGATCAGAGAGTCGCGATGCATTGTGGGGCTGATCTATTGCTATAATGTTAATCCGATCCGCTAAATGTGTCAAACAATACAACATAAAGATAGTCTCTAAATCTTTAATCAAAATATTACAATTAATATAGTGTACGGATACTGTATGAAAAAAAATGTACACAGTGACATTTGTCTTTAAAATTGCATGTATATAGTTTAGTAGCTTCCCGTAATACACTTTTTTATTTATTTTAACTTGTACCACATATTACATTTTATATGGATATAATGTTGTTGTAATATTTCTACAAATATGGTGCTGTTGTTGTTGTGGTTGTTGTTGTAGTAACAGGACATTTCATAATTTAATGGTTATGATTGTGCTAAATCGTTAAATAATTTATTATAAGCAATATATATATACGTATATACATGAATCATGTTTCTTGAAAGGTTTAAAGTCATTTTATAATCCTAATACAGACGATATTACTTTTGAAGTGAAAATAATATATGTCAACGTTTATTATTCCTGATGTTGCACATCTCTATAATGTGATAAGCAAGTGTGCCAACAGATCAATGAAACCTAAAGTAATTGACTGAAAATGAAATACAAGGGGAACCCATATAAATAAATAACATCGCATTATGTAGGAGGAAACATAAATCAATAGGATAATACGAATTACTTTTATACATTTACTACATATTGTCTTTACAATATTTTATTTAGGAAGCATGGGACGGAAGGGGGTGTAACTAAAGATTCACTTATGCTGTTAATATCTTAAAAGCGGTAACTTCCCTTACACTGATGTAACAGCGAACAAATTTAAGATAATAATACATGTACATGTAAAGGGTTTCATAGGATATGTGACAAAATATTTAAATTTCATTATGAAACATAATATCAACGAAATGCTATTTACACTTGTAAAACATTCTTTAAAATAAAGACATATCGTTAGTGAACATAACATAGACACAAATATATTGTCTTAAAGATATACAGTATTACGCTCATCTTAGGTAAGATATTATTATTGAAGAATTAAAATATAGGCAATCTTTAATGAAATTTTATAATTTGAACAATAAAATGCAAATTTTACTCGTCAAGTTGAATTGGTTGTTGCTTTTAAATGGCACTGTATATTCATACTGTGTCTGCCTATGGTTTTATACAGTTTGAAGCGTCAAATGTGCAAAACAAAAGCCCTTACTGCGTAAGTCACGCAGTAAAAAAATGGTGATAAATTATGCAAAATCATCATTAATCGCACATAACATATAAATTACTACTTGAATCTTGAATCATTTGACTTTTATTCAAATCTAAGTACATTATCCCTCAAGTTTGATTGTCTTGAAAAAAATCGCTTATCTGGGAGCATAAAGCTTTAAGTGTTAAATCAAATTATAATTGTTTTAAATTGGTTTGAAGACAATTATAACAATTGAAAGTATAAACATTTATTAGTTAGTGTAAAATAAAGATCGTATGTAAGTATACATATATAAATGACTCTGTCTTTGTTTAAGTAAAGCGTATGTACAGTAACGTAATCAGCGACAATGTCAGTCAGAACTATGGTTGACAAAGTCACGCCTTCTTGTATACCAGGATGGAATTTCCAGAATAGTTACTAAGATACAAATTGGAAGATGCTTTATTAAAACAGACAGACTGCAAGCGATCAAGCCTATTTTTCTCAATCGGCAATATTTTGATTTTTCTACAATCTTGCGAAACTAGATGTAAGGTATTATTTCCTTTGCTGCAAACAAGAACTGAACCATCCTCACATACGGTAAATGACCTCGGTCTCGAAAAACTTTCGTCCTGATAAGTTGCCAGTAATTTTCCATCAAACGAAAATTTCATCAACGAAGACTTTCTATGATCAGATACAAAGAAACTACTCCCACACACGTTAACTTCTACACAACCTGGCCAACCTAAAGTACCAGATGTAATATTGCGTACAACAACTCCGTCCAGTGTTAAAATTTGAAGTTTTGATGGTAACACAAAAGATACCACCAATGTATTCTGGTAGTGAGCTATCCCTCTACAGTCTCCGTTGACTTTTATTTTTCTGATGAGCGTCAGTTTCTTGTCTTTAACTGAGAGGAAATTAATCTTCTTAATCATTGTTAATGTAACTGCAATCTGGTCGGTGGCTACGAACGTTATATCCCACGGCTTAGAATTCAAGAGAATATGTGATGAAATACATTTTTGTTTTAAGTCTACTACTTTGACCGAGGTATTGTTACCATCTACGCATAAAAGTGCATCTGATGATAATTGAACCATGTTTGAAATTAAAACAGCTTCCTTGTCTGTCTTCGACTGAACATTGATTTCACCATCATATACAGGTTCAAATTCAGCAATGCTGCAATCCTTTGAAGGGTTGTAACAAGATGACTTTGAAGAAAGATTTCCCAGAGGGCAGCTTCCAGCAACCATCGCATCCAAGTCACTATTACGTACAAACGTATACTTAGTTGATAGCATACATGTATTTACATCTTGCTTCATATCTTGCTCTATCTGACTCAGGCGAACTTTTGACTTCTTTGCTTCAACAAACAGGTCAGTGGTTTTCTTTGACTGTGACTTTAAACAGTCATCAATGATATTTAATTCAGTCTTGATAGTTCTCAGGAAATCCTCATTGTCAGTTATACCATTTTCATTTTCTTTCCTGAGACGTTCCCATTCCTTTAGTATTGATTGTTCCATCTTGCTTAGATAATCTTCAATCTCCTTTCGGAACCTTTTGATTTCTTGGACTGCGCTAACAAATTCTTCAGCACATGCTTTCTTGCCTTTTTCTGTTGCAATTATCTTAGAATCAACATTCGTTTGGAGTTTCTCGAGTCTAGCCAGAATAACTTCATATTCCTCTCCGTTGATGAATTTGTCAGCTATATCTGGGATAAACTCAACCTTGCATGTCTTGTGGTCAATTACCATGCAATTACCGCACCCAACTGTATCATGATCACTGCAGAAATACTTGATGGTCTCTAATTTGTGTTTCTCGCAGGTTTCAGTACATAGTTGTTTGATGGTTTGTTGTTCAACATTCTTCGGCATATTAGATTTATCCAAAATAGTATGATGCTTACTAAGGGTTGCTTTGCTATGGTATTTGATACACGTTTTACAAAGATATTCCTGGCAGTTCTGACAGAAACCATCGGCTTCTAAACTCTCACCGTCAGCTATACAAGGTTGACATACTTTACAACTTTGAGATGATGCCGAAGATGATGTTTGATCTTGATGTCTATTTTCCTTCTTTCCGGAAACCTCCATTTTATGCACTATTTAAGCACTGGTTTAGAACGGTTTGTTTACTGTTGAATACTGTTTTGATCTGTCTTATTTCCGATATAACCATGTATAAGTCCAATATAAGAAAACTTTAGTCTATAGGTTTATGTAGTCATTGTTTAACGTAAGAAAACTCTTAATTCATTACTACATTATTCGTAAAAAATGCAATTTCTCAAGTCGTTTAAGTACTTCCTTGTCGGCAATATATAATCGATATCAACCAAAGCTTTCGGTTGTTTCCGTTCAACTCCGGTTCAGAAGATTATTAATAAAGGTGTATTCAAAGTTTATCTTGAATGTTTATATCTGTCGTTTATACAAAACTGCATGTAGTTCTAAATGAAATACAATACGTGTTAAGTTAGACTTATCCCAACGTAAAGTAGAGCAGAATTGATGTTTAAATAGGAAACAGATATCAATTTTGAGTGAATTGCTGAAGAATAATGCAAGATTCGAGTTCAAATGGGCAGGAATATTATTATAAAGTATTTGAATGATGAACCGTGCATTTTTTTTTACAAATATGAACTTTTTTATGGACCGAGAATATTGACAGAGAAATTAATATCACCAGGGTCAATATCAATTTGTTTCAGTACATACCACATTATATTCACCAAGTTCATATTTGTATATGATATCAACTTTATTTTTCCTCACGTTAACTCTTAATTATATAGCTTAATGTGACGTCACATGGTGTTACTTAATCTGCCATCCTGGAAATGAATATCATCCAATCAATATATTTTTTTGCAATATTTCTCATGGGCGTGTAATCTATATAGACTTAAGAAAAACGTAATGTTCTAGTTCTCTCTCCTAATTTTCATGTTCTATGCATGGGCATCGTTTTACCCGGAAACAAGATTAGATCTTTATAATAATATTAAATTTTAATTTGTTTGCAACATCGTTCGTGTCTCATTTAATAATTGTCAGACTTGTGATTGTTTCAAGATTCATTATAGAACTACAACTTTTGCAGATACGGAATTATTCTAGACTTCTAGGAAGCTTTCTTTACACTCCTAAAACGCGAGTAAAACAATTATTTCCTTAAAGAAGCTGTTAAGCTGTAAATATCCTTAACAGTGATTAGACCCAATATAATTTTTATACTACATATATAATCAGTATAAAACAAGAAACAAGTAGGAATATGTCTTATTATTGGTAGCATATATCGACAGATCGAACTTACACTCACGATGATGATGCTCATTAATTCGCCTGGCGTCTGTAATACGTCCATCGCTATCAAGGAATAATGCCTTCGTCGAATTTGAATTTTGAAAACGGCCATCTATGTACTAGGAATAAGGAACATCGACGCGTCTATCCTCCTGAAAAGCATTGGATGAAGGAAAACTTAATCAAAAAACTAGATTTAACTTTAACAAGTGCGACATAACAAAACATTCAATTTTAATGATGCTGTTCTATTGCAAATAAATTGTGTGGTTGGCGGCCGGGAAATACTAGAGAGATAAGTAACTTTACCGATTGTAAAGCATTGGATGATCTAAAACATGCCGAGCTGTTTTTTATACTCAGTTCGAGAATACAGCAGTTTCCAACCCAATGATGATGCAATAAATAAGCAGACGACAGTTTGATCCGAATTGAGCTCTCCCTATGTTTGTTCATGAGTCAAATGGCTTTGTAAATTTTACCAGGGCAACGTTTATAGTCTGGTTAGATACACTGAAAGGGATAAAAAGAAATAAGAGCCACCACCAAGCTGGGACCACGCTCGACAATTTCTTATATTATTAAATAAAATACAGGAGGTAAAGAACACTTCAAGAAAATACCATTTTTATACAAAGCATATTAATTAAATTTCATATTTTACCTTGATAGTCAAGGTCATTTACAGATGAAATCATACTTAAATTGCTGGTGTTGTCATATGTGTTGTTTGGTCCTAGTGTGAATCAAATCAGTCAATTATAAAAATATTAAGGTTATTGCTATGTTAACAATTTCATAACGGTCAATGCCACTTAGAGGTTAATGTTAAACTTTAATAATACAGCATGTCAGTGTTGTAACAAGTATTTTTTCGTTGATGTATCAATCAAAACCGCAAAAAAGGATACAGTTACCGCAAGAAAGGCAAAGATCAATAATTTCACTTTTACTGCGATCTAGGAGCAGTAAGTTTCTGTATTTTTCTGGGATGTATGGGTCAGTTTTGCACGATTCTATCCAACATGTCTAAGAGATGCTTAAACGGGGACATATCGGAAGACATGTGTTGGCCATTGCAGGAAGGTGATTCCGTTTGTCTGAAGTAAGCTTTATTTTTTTGAGCTAGTTAAGAAATATTAAACTGGCTGCTAAAAGTGTATTGTATCTTCATATGGCGTTGAGTAAGACAAGGTCCGACAACAAGACGGCGGCAGTGGATTCCAAGTTCACAGAAATGTCTGTGCTTAGCGGTACCTTAGTGGTAGCATGTCTTGTTTTGTTGCGAGGGTGTTGTACACGTACAATATTGTCCTTGACTCCTCTCGTGACTCTTCTACGGCTCGCTCTTGGCAAATCTGTGACGCTGATTGAAACATCACGCTTGCAAATCGGTTATAAATGTTGTTTCAACATTTGCATTAAATGTTTAATTATCTGTTGATTATTTTAAAAAATAATTCAATGCAGTGAAAAGAACATAATTTTGAAACTGTTTGAATGTTTTACTTGACCCATCGCTTCTGCAAAAGATATGTCCACTATGAAGTATGTGATGGAAGGTTGTATGTACAGTCTTACAGTCAATGCTAAGGTTTTGGAATAAGAACAACCAAACCAAAAAAAAAAAGTCTTATCTATATGTATCAGAAATAAGATCAGTATCAGACACGGCTAGCGCCTCTGGCAGCTATGTACTTGTCTAATAGAATTCAGTATTGTACTCAACAATGTATAATAATACAATATAAATATATTATCTTAAAGGCCCAAAATGCCTCAGAAATGTTTTTATTTTTCCCGAAAGCTTTTTATTTTTGACGTCCTGTTGAAGTTTCCAAAAATTTCTCATTAGCAAATTGTCTTTACCATCTTTTGCTTTTTTTTTGTTTTATTGACAGTTTGTACAGTTACATTTATTTAATTGAGTATTTTGTATGGAAGTCAAATTATACTTTGCTTACGATTTTCTACTTTTACGACGAATAATTTTACATTCAGCGTTCCTTTCAACATATGATAAGCATCTTAAATGCTTTAAAACCATTATTTAAATGTCATAAAACATGTGTTTGCCCTTCTTCGGGCTAAGAATAAAAAAAACCAATCCGTTTCTGAGGCATAACGTGCCTTTAAGAAGTGTTTAAAATGTGATTTAAACAACGTAAGCCTTGTCGAATTTCTTATTTCCAAATGAAAAGTGTTCCATAACTCCATATCAGAATAATGAAAAAGAACGTATGTTTCAGAGATATTTAATTAAAATATAGACAATTCATGATCAGAGAGTCGCGATGCATTGTGGGGCTGATCTATTGCTATAATGTTAATCCGATCCGCTAAATGTGTCAAACAATAGAACATAAAGATAGTCTCTAAATCTTTAATCAAAATATAAGAATTAATATATTGTACGGATACTGTATGAAAAAAAAATGTACACAGTGACATTTGTCTTTAAAATTGCATGTATATAGTTTAGTAGCTTCCCGTAATACACTTTTTTATTTATTTTAACTTGTACCACATATTACATTTTATATGGATATAATGTTGTTGTAATATTTATACAAATATGATGCTGTTGTTGATGTGGTTGTTGTTGTAGTAACAGGACATTTCATAATTTAATGGTTATGATTGTGCTAAATTGTTAAATAATTAATTATAAGCAATATAATATATATATATATACATGTATATACATGAATCATGTTTCTTGAAAGGTTTAAAGTCATTTTATAATCCTAATACAGGCGATATTACCTTTGAAGTGAAAATAATATATGTCAACGTTTATTATTCCTGATGTTGCACATCTCTATAATGTGATAAGCAAGTGTGCCAACAGATCAATGAAACCTAAAGTAATTGACTGGAAATGAAATACAAGGGGAACCCATATAAATACAAACATCGCATTATGTAGGAGGAAACATAAATGAATAGGATAATACGAATTACTTTTATACATTTTACTACATATTGTCTTTACAATATTTTATTTAACCCATTGCTTCATGAGCATTTTGTGAAAAATGGCTGTTTTCATTGAAAAGTCTCCCGTTACAAGTTCAAATTGCTATAATACTATTAAAACTGCTTCAACACTAATCAAACTTGGCACAAATGTTGACTGGACCATTGCCCTTGCAACAACATGCTCAGGCTTAAATTTTCTGTTACCATGGCAACGAGGGGACATCTCAAAATTGCCAAAAATCACTATTTTGCGTTGATTTTTTCCATCAAAATTGATTTCAAAGTGCTGCAACTTCTCAATGGATTGAGATAGAGTCAAATGCTTTTGAGCGTTGGTTACACGTTACCTTATGATCAATCTGGGGTCATTTACAGCCTCTCACAAGTCCAAAATTTTCTTGGCGATGAGGGGGACTCCGCCCCCCTTCAAACCCCCCCAAACAGAAGGGGGCACATCCCCCTTCTGGCAACCCCCTGATGTATCTTTTGGTTTGGGGGCCGCGCCGAAAAAGAGGTCACTTTTTTTAACAACATTTCTCAAACAAAAACAAGTGTTTGGGGCCTAAATAAGGCATTTTTTCATCCTTTGAGACAACAAAAAGGGGGGGGGGTGAAAAAGGCGTTAAAAGGCGTGTATATGAAGTAATGGGTTAACAAAAAATGATGAAAATACTTGAAATTACCCTTAATCGCGTTTTTTCATGTTTAAACATGGCCTGTCATATAAATTTGAAGAAAAATTGTTGTTTTGTAGATTTTTTTATTTTATTCATTAACAAAAAATGATGAAAATACTTGAA